GCGCATCGCCTTTCAATATCATAGCCGGTGCTGCTGGCCGGTCCGTTAGGGAAAGTTACTTCAAACGAGCAGTGGTGGCTGGAAATCGCGGCGAAAGGCACACACGAGATCCAGAGGCATATAAAAGCCCCCGGGGGCCCTTGTTGTCCTTATTTATGAAGCCCGTAAGCGGGCACAGACACAGGAGGCGTCGGAATTAAAAGTAGAAATTCAATATCGTAGTCGTCGGCCGGCCGTTCCGTCTTCGATATTCCTGGCAAAGTGAAAGTCGGTAATGTATTCGGGACGGCCGTGTCATCGGAACGAAAAGTCACCTGCAACGAGATTTCATGAGACCCGTATCAGGCGGCGGCGGCGGCGTCGAAACGACGGGGCAAGGGTCTGGGCATCGAGCGGAGAGGACGACGAGCAGCTGCCAGCTTCTGAAATCGTTCTACGTACGTGTGTACATAGGTGGTGAGAATTAGACCGACAGGAGGCAACGGTGATAGAGCTGCTGCTAGGTGGATAGGTGGTAGGTAAGCCAGCGTGTACGTGAAGGTAAGGTGGAGAGAAAGAGAGGCGTAGGAGAGGGGAGGGGGTTGGTGGACGAGCTTTGGGAGATGACGGAAGGGGATAGGGGGCAGGGGAAAGGGGGAGGGGGCGGGTGGGAAGAGGGGGAGATCGAGCAAAGGGGGATGGTATCGAGGTCAGCGCGTTTTTCGCCTGCGCGACGCCGTGCGCGCTACGGCCCTGCACAAGGTGGGTCGTGAGGACGGTGGGCGTCGGCGTCGTCAGTGCGCCGGCCGGGTTTCAAACCTCGAACCCACGATTGGGCTTCCAGCGTGGTACCAGGAACGCCCAGGATCCGCCAAAACCCACCGGGATGGTATGTACGTGGGCGGCAGATACGCCTCTCCTTGCCTCTTCTACCTCTTCTTCCGTTTACTCTTTTCTTCTGCTTCTTTTTTTCGCCCGTTGCCAAGGCACACCGGGGGGGCCCACCACCATATATTCGTTCCGCTCGTGTACGTGTGCGTTCCGACGCCACTTGGTTCTTACCTTTTTTTCCTGCAGCTAGACACCGAGGCTTCGCCGTGCAGGCACGCGTGCCTCAGATCTCACCCTCGACGTGACGCGCACGTGTTCTGACCATAGAGTCGCTCGTCCACTTTTTTCGATTAAGTCGTTCCGAAAATATTTACAAATCAATGCAATGTTTGAAGGAGAGAAAATTTAATTCGTAATTCCCTCGTCCTGAACATTGTAGAAAAGTTGAAGGTTTCGATAATGCCGTAGCACGAATGATACTCAGGGTTTACGACCTTTGGTAGGTTCGTATGGTTTGGAGCTGATCAGAGGCCAATCTGGCGAACGAAACCGCGAGAGTTGCGGATAAGAATGTCGAGGGCAGTGTCGTAAAAACCGGCCGGCCTGTTTGCCAATCACTTACGACAATTCCTGTACGCTCATCCGTTCGGTTCCGATCCTCTTACACTACGGAAAAGAAACATAAGAATAGACTTAGAGCTCGCGTGTGTTTAGCTCGATACCCATAAAACCGAATGGCTCAAACTTTGTCCGATAAAAGGAGTATTTCACTAGTCGTACCGCGTGCTGAAACATCCCGGATTCTATACGTTCCCTCACCCGTTCAAGCTTCTAGTTTCGCGAATCTTTTAGCGTTCAACTAGCAGATCTCACCACACACCTGATTGCAGATAGTCTTTGTTACAAGTGAACTCACAGAGGATCGTATAAATAGACGAATTGTATTTCTAATCACGCACGAAACTTTTGCTCGTGAAACCAAGTGTTTGTCTACATTATCATTCGTGATGATTTTTCAAATCGTTTTGTTCTGAGAAACTCAACTTCAATAAGTATCCCTAACTTCATTGTAAAATGTGATCCGAATTAATTTTGATATTCAAAGTATGTTAGAGTATCTTAAATTGAAAATTCTAGGGAGTATTTTGAGATTAAATAACTTACTGTCCAAGTCGACCATTGGTCATCAACAATCCAACAGTGTCAACTGAAAGTTAAATTTGTTTCAAACATACAATCGAAAATTGCCACAGTTACCTGTAACCGCTCAGAGGTTAACACAGATTTCCATTTTAATCAAATTCCATTTCAAATCGCGCCAGATTCTCCTTGCCCATCAAATCTTTCCAAGGTTTCCCCCTGTTCACGCGTTCTCCACTCATCGCGTCGTTCGCTGATCCAGCGTCACGTTAAGCCGGTGGTTAAATTTAAACCATCCTCCGGCGTCGTACCGAAACGAGCGATGGCCGGCGATTGTTCTTAAAACGAGACTAGCGGTGGAACAGGTGTTGCTGACACAGTTAGGAAACGCGGCGTGTCGATATTAATCGACGATATTTCCAGTTAACGGGTAAACGGCCACCGTGCGCGGTGGGTCAGATCGAAGAGGGTGGGTGAGAGTCGAGGGTGGCTGGGTGGGTGGTCTATGAGAAGGGAAGAGGAGAGGGAGGGAGGGGGGAGGGAGGGCGGCGGTAAAAGGTCGTTTCTCGACGGACGCAAAAGCCGTTAATGCTGAGAGAGCCGAGGCAGGTTCTCCCTTCGGTAAACCGAGTTACGCGACTCGGGGAACCCTTTGCTTCTTTCCGGATCTAATTAGGAGCCCTTTGGAGCGATGTAATGCGCCTTTAATCCAGTCGAGGCATCGCCCATAGGCCACCTCCTCCTCTCCACCCATCCTCCTCGGCAGCCCTTACTTCCACCTTGCAGGCATCGACCACCGATACCGGTTCTACTGACGACGACGACGATCCTTAGGGCGGAACCGGCAACGACTAATGATTCCCAACGGTGCGCGATATACTGGATTAATCGTCGTCAGGCTCGATAGTTTCGATGTGCTGATCACCAGGGCGGGTGCAGTCGCGTAGCTAAATGCCCGAGACAAATTATTCAGCCAGAGGGAAACGAAGTTATCGAATCGGATAAGTGCAGCAGATGCCGCGCCTTCTGTTCACCGATGATACGGTAGAAGACAATCGAGCGGCTAAAGTGATTCTCGAGATCGCGTCTCGATGATCGTGTTTTGCTTTTTAGTTAGCCGGCCATGAACGATTGACACGAGTCAGTTATTGAAGTTGTGTGGATGTTGAGTTGACGCTGAAATTACAGATAATTTTAGTATAAATATTTGTAATGAAGAAATGAGAATGGAAGGAATAAAAAAAGGTTTATATTATAATAAAGAACACAAAAAGAACAAGAATCACTCAAATCATTGAAAATATATTGTTTTAAATCTATAGAAATTCTATGAAAAATTAGTGTCAGTGGAATAATCTTCTGGTTATAATTTCTTATTCTTATTTTGGCGGAGAGGTCTTCCAATAAGAATACCACGTTCCAACGTATTCACGAATTTCGAGAATCACCTCTCACATAAATTATTTACCCTCAATTTGACGCCGCGCTCGATCAAACCGTTTTATTGACTTATTTGTTTGTGATCCCAGAACGGCTTGTTTTCGCCGGACATTGCGCGTCCACCAGTCGCAGACGTGAAAACGCTACATTACTTACCAGTTTCCGAGAAGACATTCTTATGATTTCGACATCCTTGTGGTCGTTCATAGTCCGAGAAGAACGGGAGGGAAGAAAGTTAGGTCAACTTTTAACGCAGAATCTTCGTTTTATTTTAACTAAAAATTTCCGTCCTGTAAGAATCCAGTCCTTACAGTTTTTCTATACTCCATCTCGAAACTACAAAACATTATCGTACAAAAATGAAGCTGTAAAAAAATCTCAGTATGGTTTCTCTTAATAGGGACGTTTTTCACAGTAAAAATTCATTTTCTAAGAACAAGAAAAGTCGAAATATTGACTCTTGGATGCTAAGAGTGTTAATTTCCATTGGATCGAAATCACACGGTTAGTTTCCACTAGGATAATGGCTAATTAATAATTAATAGTGCCAAATTAGTCTCCCGATCGTTCTAAAATCTGGCATGTCGTGTGTGTAAGATGCGAGAGTCGTTTGGTTCCTGCAGTCAGGCAGGAAATAGGAAAGAGGTCCCGACTACCCCCTCGAGACGTATAACAGGCTTAAAGGGGGAGTAACTCCGCATTTAACCCTCTCGTACGGTGAAGGAATGCGCACTACACGAGTTAAAAGACGACCGAGCTTGAGTGCCTTACCGTGTTGATGCCGTGGGGGACGCGGTCACCCTCTCGGACCTTTCGTTCGACGACAATTAGCCCTCTACCGTGGAAATGCTGTCTTCCTTCGTCTCTGAAAACACCTCTGGTAATAATCGACGTTTCGATTATTTCGAGAAAATATTTGATTTATAAAAAAGAAAACATTAACAAGAAAATGTTAACAGAGATAAGAACAAATTTTTAATTTACTAAAAAAGAACGATGTTATTGATGTTTGGTGGTAAATAACGATTTTACGCGGTCGAATTAATTTATTCGTGCTCGAAAAAAAAATATGCGCGCGACATTTTACCCTCTTTGTGAAATACACGCTGCCCATGGAGAGAATAAAAAAAGATACATGAAACTGGGGGAAGAACGCAATAGTCACCGTGGTGTGCGTAAATCATAACACGTAAAATATTTATAGCATGGCAGGGGTCGGTACAATGGAACAAATACAGCCGTACGAAACACACGGCGCTGCCGCTTCCCTATTTTACCTCGAATTCTTTCGAAAATTCGGTTTCATAGTGGACCACGAAGACCCATTCCATTTCTATCGAAAAACCGAAGAAAGTAAATTCTATAAAGACAAGATGATAGATCGCGTCCGACATCTGTCGCGAATAAAGTTTCCCTACGGGGACAAACTCGCAAATATCGAAACTAATCTGAAGAGGAACCGTCGATAACGAGGTCATAGCATTTACGAATGCTAATTGAAAGTTTCGATAAATTTGAACTGAAACGAAACTGCGAAGCGTAGTTCCGACGCGACGCGAAAACTCGTTTAAAAGGAGTAGGAAGATGCGGCGTCGATTAGCAACGGAACATCTCGAAAAGAAGTTGCTCGAACGATCTAAACGAGGAGTAACTTTATTCGGAACTAGCATCTTCCACTTAATACGCTCGATTCAAAGATCGTTTACGTTCCCCAAAGTAAATTAGCGACTACATAAATTCATTCCCGGCGAGTTAGTATTCGAATCGCGGGGGAAGTTTCGGGGAAGAGCGGTGAAACGCGAAGGGGCGGCGGGGAACTGGAGGTCGAGCGAACGAGACGCGGTGTAACGGGCCCGTGGCATTGGGACTGGCGAACGAACATTGAGAAAAGGCGAAGGAAGAAAATATTCAGAATTTAGCACGCTTATTTCACGGTCGCGGACGGCACGCGGACGAAAGTGTTTCGAACAAAGTTTTAACCGTGTCTAATGGCGAAACTTGGCAAACTCGGCTGGAGTTCGACTGTCAGTAACCTCGGCTCCCTGGCCGGTTCTCTCTGGCCGGGGGAAAGTGTCGTAAAAAATATTTTAACGGGGCTAAGCTAGGGAAAAGTTCTCCATCTGGCTGACCGACTATCTGTCTTTTGTATTTATTTGCCGCGATCTTCTCTCTTGTTATTTCTCTCTTTCCTTCTCTCTGTCTGTCTCTCATCCACTTTCGCGATTCGCACCTTCTCGAGTTCTCCTTCCCTCTTTCTTCCTCCTTAACCTTGACCTATCTGTCCGTCGTGCCTGACCTTGCTGGCAATCGACCTTGAATATCTCTCAGCGAACACCGTGTGCCCCGGTCCGATACCAAAGTTTCGAGACTTCCGCGCTGTGGAAATGAAGAGTCTCCTCGTTGTGCTTCTCCGAAGACTCGGAACTTTGCATACTTACTTGAATCGCAAGTGTAATCTCAATTTGCTTGCGCGGTATTGGAAGTTTGATTGTGTGATTTACGATATGTGGAAGATGAGGTTTTCGCACGTTGATTTACGAGCAGGAGCGTTTGATTTTTATTTATCTTGCTGGTAAAAGTTAAGATTGATTTCAGGCTATTCTCTTTCATTCGTGTTGACTTGTCGTTTATTTTCTCTCATCAATAAAATATTATAAGTCTTTTAATGACGATACGATACGCTGCAATTTTACATTCACCAATATAAAATAATCTCTGGCTTTCTTTTATCAAAGAAGTCGAATTTTTCTACAATAAATATTAAAGAAACTATCTATACATATTTCTTCTATCAAGTTTAATATTCTCCAATCGTCGATTCCCTTTCAACATTGTATTCCCTGTTTTGCAAGTGATGTACGACAGTTTCAGAAACGCCGTCCAATGTTCAGTCCACCGAATCACGAAATCAGAAACTCCTCCTTCGATCGTTGTTCGCGTCGGTAGAATCTCGGTTGGCGAGGCACTCGGTGTACGGAAAGAGAGCAAAGTGGAAACGCGTCGACAGCTTCGTCGTGGTCTTGTGGAAAGGGTTGCATGCACCTTGGTCGGTTCCTCGTAGGGTTCTACGTCCCTCGGAGGTGGAGGTACAACGGTACCGTTCAACTTGTTGTTTAGCCTGGTTCCGCGTTGCTGGCACAGAGAGAAAGCGCGGAGAAAGACGAGAGGCGAAGAAAGAGGGAGAACGCACATGTAACTGAGAGAGTGGCACCGGGGGTAGAAACGAGGGTAGAAGCGAGAGTGTGTGTGTGAGAGAGAGAGAGAGAGAGAGAACGGTAACGGCGGTGGCAGCAACGGTTAGTGCCCGGCCAAGTAAGTTTCGCGTTATAGTCAATGGAATAAAATGGTTCTGTCGGGTGGTGGGAGCCAAGTTGTGCTCATGGTGGCCGGGGCCACCGTTGCCCCGGGCGTTCCGAGCCAGCGTTCTGTGCAGCTCCTAGGAACAACGGGGATATGAAGAGAAGAGGCGAGAGGGTGGACCGCGTCCTAGAAACACAAGCGGCACCAGGAGAACCGACATCCCAAGGCCTTGCTTCCCGCTACGAATGAGTTGGCAATTAACTACGCTTCTATCCGCTTCGTTCCCTGTTTTCGTGACCCCCTCTCTTTCTGCCTGCTCGTCGTTGCCCGTTCGCCCGGGCAACTTCCTCTCAAACTGTATCCTTGAAATTTTTCCCGCTCGTTCGTCGTTTCAATTGGAAGTGTCTTTGGTACCCATGTGCCAAACGTTCACGTTCCAAGTCAACCGCGTACTTGCAAAGTCAAAAATGGCACACGTTGTTTGAGTTTGGTTTAGGTAAATGTTTAGCCGGACTACCGGTTCTAGGTTGATAACGTCGAACTCGGAGCGAGGATTTGCCTTAGTTTCGGCGTTTAGTTAGAACGTACGGACACGCGCGGCACTCTGATGGGGAGTTTTTATTGTGAATGGAAACAGTCCCGGTGATGATGGTGCCGGAAGGGAGGGAGAGATGGGACGTTCTTAAAAGTGTACGTACCGGTGCGCGTCTGTTTCACTTGAAATTTTCATTGAAATCACAGAAGACAATTCTCGTTTCTATTTCAGTGGCGCAAGTGCCATTGTACAAAACAAACCGTTGACGGTGTTATTTAAACGTAGATTCCGCGACGAAACAAAAGACAGTCTCCATTTACGTATCTCGACCGGGACGCCGCCACTCCTGCCCCTGGAAATCCTGACAACATTAAAATTGATATTAAACTACGTCCCGAATCGAAAACAACTTTGTCGAAACTATCCTTGCCCGTCCTGCTCTCGTCGTCGTAGGTACTGGTTCCTCAACAGCCGGGCAAACGCCAGGCAAACGCCAGGCAAACGCCACACGTCGTTCTCGCAATGGGGTGTATACAGAACGAACGATATCCCTAGACCTAGAGGTATCTCGCGCGTATCGGTCACGTACGTGTTGTATCTGAGGCAGGGTGCAAGGTCCCCATGTCGGCCATATATCAGTGACGAGCGGACAGGATACTGTACGTTCCCTGGCGCGCTTCCTCTTTCCATCGGTCGTCTTCCTTTTACTCTCGAGGCGCCGCGCCGGCCAGCCTGTCCGTACCATTGCTGCCTGTCCGTAGCTAGCGCGGCGGCCTGGACGAGGGATAGACCAGAGGGGGGGAGTAGCTGGAAGTGTCGCTAACTATTTTACGTAACTTCGCCGACAGTTTGGCCCGCGTTGACCACGTACGTCCGGCTCTACGATCCCACGGGAGTGACCACCAGAGGGACGAAAGGGGGTAAACGTGGGTGTACGAAGAGAAGAGAGGGAGAGAGAGAGAGAGAG